CTTCTCCAAACATTAATATTACAGTCCACATCACACTTTATGGAAGACGTAGAGAGCAGATTCCTTGCATAGTGATAACACTGATTGACGAAAACACAGATGAGGGTGATGCTATAGTTTACACAGATGGGTCAGTTATTCGGGGCAAGCGAAATGCATGGGCATTCACAGTAAACTCAAGGAGGAAAACCACCAACGGGTTGATGGCGCCCTTGCTGTTACAACTAGTATCCTTACAATGGAAACTATGGCTGTAACAAGGGCACTAGCATGGCTTGGTACTCAGAAGTTTACAACGTATCCATTCTTAGTGACTCGATGAATATGCTTAAAAAATCCAAGCTGGATTTATCGGGCAAGAATGGATTGCAACACTAAGCACTTCACGACTAGCTGCCCTAACCTTCAGGTTTGTGCCAGGTCATGCGGGTGTTCAATGGAATGAGCGTGTAGACTATCTTGCTGACACTGCGGTTGCTATGGCTGGTCTAGTACTGGACAGAAGTGATGTTATCAAATCCATGCGCTGCACTTACCGTACAGAGGAGCATGCCAATGAACATGACTCCGAATCCCTATCTAGACTGATGGAAATAGGGGTGCAGCCCGGAGCTGCAAGAAATGAACATTCCACTAAAGTACTAAAGGGACAAGACGTTTCATTAACCAACACAGAACCGGCATCATCAGTCGTTTTACACTTGTGGAGCTTTTGAGAAGGAGATCGGGGCACCTATGGATCTGTCTGGAGTGCTGTGTGTGTGATCTTAATCCTTTCTAATCACTAATCACTAATATCTCGGTATTTAGTGTTCCAGATAAATTCCAGTGATACTATTTTTCCATGCCACTGTCTGAGACCATCTTCCATCATTTCTCTTGGTCTGCCTCTGCCTCTTCTACCAGGGATCTTTCCAGTCGTCACGATATTTTCCAGTGCTCCTTTCCTCATCACATGACCAAAGAACTGTGTCTCTTTCTCCTTGTTGTATACTTTCATTAGTCATTTCCAGGAAATCAGTGTTAGTTATTCTGGTAGTCCAAGTTATTTTCAACATCTTTTTCAGGTGCCTCCAAACTTCTAAATTTCTTTGCTCACATTCCAAGATTCACTGCCAAACAACAGAGCATGCTCTATATAACATTTCACTGCTCGTTTACCATTACAATTACAATTGCAGACATAATATAACTATCATCATCATCATCATCATCATCATAAACCACTTTTACCACTAACCGCCGTCGGGAAAAATATCTTTCTGATCCAGTGCGGGCTGGATGTCACTGGCTATTGTCATGCAGTGTGTGCTTTCAATGTCTGTAATGTTATCTATCTATGTTTTCGTGTCCGTCCTCTTGATCTTGTAGTTGATCTTCTGAGATGTAGCGGCTGAGATAGTATTTTATGTTGCTGCACTCTAACAAGATAGGCTAACAAGATAGCCAATACTTTGATCTGCTGTTTCTCGATAAATCTTTTACAAGGTGTCGTCCCCACAATCGGTCTGAAACTATCACTATTGACTCCATTTCGAATGGTCAGGTTTGCAGCTTTTCTTAAGCATCTCATCTCGCAAGTGATGATTTTGCATGCATGGGAAAATATAAATATATGTTCACTATAATACAACGATAACAGCATGGATATCTATATGTATAAAATATGTGTGTATGTAAATGAACCTACCCAGGAAAATCCAATACAGCCGAGGGCATCCGATAGCATGTCTCCTAGAATGGAAGGGAACGAGTTGCCAGCTGGGAAATAGGCGTGAAAATTCGGATGCTGCCAGTGAGAAATCTGCACACACACACAAATACCAAAAGGCGGGTTATAATGGTGAAAGAACAAAACATGTGTCCATTGCTAACATTAGGGAATATTACGTGATGAGGACCTCTCCTCGTCGGTGCTACTTTCGTACCATGTCCGAAATCTTCGAGAACAGGGGACATGATTTAATTGCAAGACTGTACTTCAAGGAATATTAGGGGGTAGTCGAAAAAGAGGAGGACAAAATAAAACCTCAAATGACAACATCAAGAAATGGACAGGACTAAGTTATCATACACTTATTAATCAGGAAATAAATAAATAAAGAAAGAAAGAAAGAAAGAAAGAAAGAAAGAAAGAAAGAAAGAAAGAAAGAAAGAAAGAAAGAAAGAAAGAAAGAAAGAAAGAAAGAAAGAAAGAAAGAAAGAAAGAAAGAAAGAAAGAAAGAAAGAAAGAAAGAAAGAAAGAAAGAAAGAAAGAAAGAAAGAAAGAAAGAAAGAAAGAAAGAAAGAATCCTCCTACCCCTGGCATGATAGCCTTGTCAACATCCTCCATGATAAACTCCCAGCCTTCTCCTTTCTTGGGCGCTGACGAGGGCAGCAAGTTTCTCAGGTAGCCTGGTTCCACTTCTGGGGTCACCCTACGGGTTCGAATCTCGGTCATGTAGTCAGCGATGTAGTCGACCATCTCTCGGCCACGCTTACGGAATTCGTCTGCGTTCATTCTCAAGGCTGCGTTCATGAGGGACAGTCAGAATGTAATGTATCTCTAGTTATTTTTCTCAGCGAAAAATGACAACAAAACATGAAAGTTTGTGTAAAAGTAAAGTGAAAGTAAAGTAAAAGTATAGTAAAAGTTTAGTAAAAGTATAGTAAAAGAATGGTAAAAGTAAAGTAAAAGTAAATTAAAAGTAAAGTAATAGTAAAGTAAAAATAAAGTAATAGTAAAGTAAAGTAAAAATAAAGTAATAGTAAAGTAAAGTAAAAATAAATTAATAGTAAAGTTGAAAAAAAAAGTTATAGTAAAGTAAAATAAAAATTAAGTAAAAGAAAAGTGAAAGACGCTTTTAGGAGTGTTAGTTATATAGGGTTACTCCTATAGTTTATAGACCAACTGGCACTTGGTGGGTGATGTTGTCAGCATAACGCCGACCGCCTTTACTTCGAGGACTGCACCCGGTACTCACTCAAGGCTGGGTCGACCTGGGAGCCATGATCATATTTGAAAAAAAGTTGGGCTCTGCCAGGTCCCTAACCCACGATCTTCCGATTCGCAGGCGAGCGTCTAGCCGCGACATAACGTCGACTCCATTGAAAGTCTGTGTACATTACAAATCTTAAACCTAAGTCATAGAATATGACATCATAGGACATGACATCATAGGACATGACATCATAGGACATCAAATCGCCTTCCGTCAAAAAGACCAACAGAGGTAATCAGTTAAAACAGCATCTTATTATTCTTCGCGTTCGCCGGCTGTAAACTCCAGAGGAAATTACTTGCTGTTCGTCCACTTCTGGACTTTAGGCTTGTTGCAGAACTCGAGTTTTGCATGCGTGTCTATTTTACAGATCCGGCTGCTGTGTGTGCAGATTGTTAGTTACTTGTCTATCGGGTGGATGCGCTTCGACTTCAGACACCACTAATTAGTCGACGTATACGCTTGTTGTCGGCTCTGTGGCTAAGTCGATGCGAACGCTTCGTAATGCCGGGATGCCAGGTTCGATCCCAGCTGCGGGCCATGTGCCTTGCGTTGCTTTCGACTGTGGTATCAAGAAGCCGACCGTCCAGGGGCAATGGCAAGCTACTGGACGTAAATTTGCCCAGAGAAACCACACAACAGCTGGGAGCTGTTAGGGTTGGTTCTGCAACGTCCTGTAAATGATACGCAACTAACCTTTGATATACGCTTGTTAGAAAGGCAGTGTGTCTATTCTTGATTTCTCCACGACTCTAAAATGGGGCCCCGGACCACAGACACAGGGAAAATAATATAGCAAGGTTTGTTGTAAACATCGAATTATTGCAGAATTTCTGCTGGTGAAAAAAAAAAAAAAAACTGGTAAACATTGAAACATTTATAAGCGTTCATGTGCTGTGTATGGACGATGTGTGGAGCATAGTTGATAGATAGGTTCAGAAACTTAAGGCTTCAGAAGAAGGCAGTGGCGAAATAGCTACGAGGACATTATAACACCCGATGCATGCTGTTGTTTTGAGTTGGCAAAAGGACATCAAGGAAATAGAAGGAGACTAAACAGAAACATTATAATGTATAAAGAAAAACATAAGTTAGAAAGCCTTGCCAGTAAATTGCGTACATCTTGTAAAAAAAATTTTTTTAAGCTGAGAGGGGAGGCGGATGTAAGGGAATATGTGAGACATTATTATCTATATGCTTCTTGTATATGGTAATGCAGTTAACGTGGGTTAAAAATAAAAGTCAGTAAAGACTCTTTTTCATGGGTAGCACACCAGACATTGTATTCTAAAAAGTGTGTTTAGAAACCAGTTGACTCACCATACGGGATACGCAATGAGCATATATAAGCCACCTTTACTTTGCAGTAAAGGACAGAGCTGCATAATGTATAGAACAAATTCACAACACTCCATCAGCAGACTCAACATAAAAAAAGAGTAAAGGACCCTTCTCTACGCCTTCAGTCGTATAGGGCATATAGGACTAGACCTTAATTTTTATAGACCAATCGGCACAGGATGGTTGATGTGGTCAGCATCACGCCGGCCGCCTTTACTTTCCCGGGACTGCACCCAGACTCCATATAAAGAAAAGAAAAACATACAACAATTTCTCGTCGAAGAAGTGGACACTACAGGCTCGACAAGTATAAAATAAAGACTACAGTCACCACAGTGTGCACGGCAGACGGAACCAAAAGCATCCAAGCACACCCTGCAGGCCTGCCAACTATACATACAACAATGAAGCGAACATGTCATCAAGAGCAAAGTTTGCAGAGTCAGCTACAGAGAACCACAAGGGACCTGCCACTGGCAGTCCATCTGACAGTCTGAACTAAGCGTACAAAACAGAAAGCACAGAAGAAGCAGAAGAATAACGACAGGCGTGAACTGGTTGAAACACCAGGCACACTCAGGATAGGAAGAGGACTGAGGGCGAACATGACCACCAATGCCATATAATAAAGATCTTATTCTTCTTCGATTTTCTTTGTTCCCCGACAATGTAAAATGGATATCAGGCGATGTCCTAGAAAGTAAAGACGGCCATTTAAATGTTCACCACAACACCCACGCAAGTAAGTGATGGGACTATGAAATAATGAGGCTAGCCTGATGCGCCACTGGTGTGAAAAAGGTTCTTGTCTTTTCTCTGTTACGAACGAAAGGAACGAGATTTATTTTCCCAGGGTCACAAACTGGGCACCCAGGCCCGTCTTAAATGCGACTCTTTTGAACACTGATCTTTCTCACAGCAAAATTTACTTTTTAAGAAGGCTGTGTTTACTCCAGAGAAGGTCTGTGTGCGTGGGGGGGGGGGGGGCACAAATCCGGCAACTTATGGAAACTGATCCTGGAAAAGGGATTAGGTGGCCTAGCGTATCAAGTTACAAGATCTCCTTTAGCTCTTTTACTTCAAACAAAAAAGCAAGACACGTTAAACGACTTACATTAACTTGGACTCGTTCAAATATAATAATTTCTCCAAAGCGACGTATCAACCAGCTGCTTTGAATCCACAGTTAGAGCAACTTTCCCTGGCAGCAAGTCTCCCCGTTTAGGAAACTCGCTGGTCAATCTTTGTAACTACAAGACCATTATGCTGATTTATATATAGGGCAGGATTCCCGCCCGATTTGGGTAAACCCCAGGGAATTACGTCATAGATCAATATGACGTTTGGTTTGTGTGTATGTGGGCTTTGCCATCATCAACCACCACATTTTGGTCTGATATTTTCTTCAGTTTTTTTTTTTTAAATATTCATAATATTTGTATTATTATATGAAAATAACATGCTTTGTTTGTCAAACTACAGCTGCTAGGTGAAAGACCGGTGTTTGGAATGTAAGACGGGCCGGCGTGCCCAATTTGTGACCCATTAAAAATGAAGTTAGTTCGTTTGCTCGTTCATTCGTTCTTCTTCCTCCTCCTCTGCATCTTCTCCCTCTCCTTCTCCTCATTCTTCTTCTTCTTGTTCTTCTTGTTCTTCTTGTTCTTGTTCTTCTTGTTCTTCTTCTTTTTTTTCTTCTTCTTCTTCTTCTTCTTCTTCTTCTTCTTCTTCTTCTTCTTCTTCTTCTTCTTCTTCTTCTTCTTCTTCTTCTTCTTCTTCTTCTTCTTCTTCTTCTTCTTCTTCTTGTCTTCCTCTTCTTCTTCTTGTTCTTCTTCTTCTTCTTTTTCTTCTTCTCTTGTTCTTCTTGTTCTTCTTGTTCTTCTTGTTCTTATTCTTCTTCTTCTTCTTTTCTTCCTCTTCTTCTTCTTCTTATTTTTCTACTTCTTCTTCCTCTTCTTCTTCTTCTTGTTCTTCTTCTTCTTCTTCTCTTCCTATACTTCTTCTTCTTCTTCTTCTTCTTCTTCTTCTTCTTCTTCTTCTTCTTCTTCTTGTTCTTCTTCTTCTTCTTCTTCTTCTTCTTCTTCTTCTTCTTCTTCTTCTTCTTCTTCTTCTTCTTCTTCTTCTTCTTCTTCTTCTTCTTCTTTCTCCCCCTCCTCATCTTTCAAGGACGTTAACACGTTGTGTTGTGATTTACAGCTAGGCAAGGATATTTACACCTGTCGACTGATCAGGGCGTTTCTTTCAGAATCGAAGTCTATAGGCTTGACAGACGAGGTCCCCGTGTGGGTTCTGGGGCCCCTTTATGGGGAAAAAAATATACCCACTGCCATCCCAGCAAGCATGTCGTAGGATGCGACTAACTAGGGACCTCCTTCGAAGTCGGAGTGCATCTGCGCAAAAGGCATGGAAAAACCAATTGAAACAAATAAGTCAGTAAAACGGATGTTCACGCAAAGCTCAGGCCCTGGAGCAAAGCCAAAGTCTAAATGGACGAACAATCAGGACTTTCCGCCGAAGCTTATAGCCGGTGAACAAAGAAGAATAAGCAGAAGAAAGGCGAGAAACCAACATTATGAACACAGATAAGCCAGATCTGTAAAACTAATGCGTTCTGGAACAAGACTCAAGTTGGGAAGTGGACCAAAAAACCAGAAGTTTAAGCCTGAGTTCACAGCAGGTGAACGCGAAGAAGAAGAAGAAGAATCGCAGCTGCGGCTTCACGTCAATCAGGTCAGCCCTCTAATTGCTCCACTCGTGTGCAGATGTTTCAATAGAATGATGTCCTTTCTTACATTGTGCGGACTCTGTGGCTTCGAGGTGTCTGCATAAGTTTAACAACTGTAGGGTCTTGGAGTACTAGCATTCCATTTCCACGGTAGACTGCTTATTTAAAACAAAACTGTTCACGTGGTTTTGAGACAGTAGTATGAGAGTCGCACCGAAGAAGAGACTAGGGCTGCAGCACTAGCCAAGAGGCCCTAAATCCTCAATACTCCCCACCCACTCCCCTTTTTTTCGTTGCCGACACCGCAAATAGAGGCAGTAAAAGCATCCCATTTAAGTGTATTTTTGGTCCAATATGGAGGACTAGGTATGGCAGAATATTTAGCTTCGAAGTTATTTTTGCTTTGGACAGCGCTTTGTTAATGCAGTGTTCACATCTGGACGGAAGTCTACGGCT